AAACTGCAGATATCTTTACCAAAGCCCTGAGCAGAGAACACTTTGAGAGAAACAGGCTGGAACTGGGCTAATAAGGCCTAATTGAGAACCTGATTCCTACCATATGGCTATGAAAAACATATTCAGGTAAAATTAGCTGAAGTGTTTTTCGGCCAAGTCTAACTCACTTCAATATCGTCACAGGTAGACACGCATGATGATTATAGAAGCTGCAGAAGCACTACATGAACGTAAAAGAGGATTGAGAATTTTTGAAAGACCGGTCAAGAACCCGGTTCTTGTACCACAGGTTAGTATTCTTGTGCTTTTTCATAAATATATCAAAAAAGAAACAAAAATCGAGTGCCATGTCATCAACCTTTTCAGACCCTGTATGTCACGTCTTTTCATTCAAATCCTTTCACTTCCCTCTAAAATGTTGCATCTCCCCACAAAAATACCGTTGTTTCAGAACCGGTTTCTCTCTCCCTCATAATTGTCTCTTCTCTCATTAAAACCCTCTCATCACCTTGAACGATCATCTGTCTCTCTCTCTCTCTCTCTTTCTTTTTCTTCAGCCCTTTTCCAGAATTTTCAAACTCCTTCTCTATCATGGCTGAAGATCAACAAATCATCCCCACCATAGTCGAGAAAACTCTAAAAGTAAACCCTTGACTCCTCCGTGCCTAATGAAACACCTCTTACCAATTCCTCTTCCACCACTACTACGGATGATACTCTTAAACCCGATTCTCCTTCACCCTCTATCACTCTCATCACTCCCTCAGACAATATTCCCCCCCCCCCCCCCCAGTGTTGAGAACTCCAAAATTCCCAAATGATTATTTCTCTTCTCTGTTACCTGAGATTCTCAAAGAACGAAGCAACGTTGGAGAATAGACTGAGACTCCACAGGAAGAAAAGGTTTCTGAGGTTAATGCTGATCAGCCTACAGATACTCCCGTCTCGGATTTTGTGGCTCCCATGGAATCTCAAGAGAGAGAGTCCATAGAAAACATGCTGGCCATATCTGCTAAAGGGATAGTGTATGAGGTCACCTCCACTATGCCTGAGTCTCAGGGGGAAGAGACTCAGTCGTTGGTAGAAGAAGGAACAATGGTGCTCTTTGAACATCTTGGACTAGAAGAAACTACTGGAACCCCTCTTGAAGAACCTGACCCCTCTCTTGAGGAAACAGGTCAGGGCTCTTCGTCCCAGGTCAGTTTCGACCCTGCTCCTTCTCCTCATTTTAATGTTGAGCTGTTGGAAGTGTTGCGTCCTGCTCTGAGGTCTAGTGATGAAGAAGATCAGGATAATGTTGCTCTAGATGCGTTCATTGCCAGAAGGAGGCCAATAGCCACTCCTGAGCCCTCTCCTAAGCGACCTACTACGAGGTTGCAGAAAAAGGAAGCTCTTAAGTCTGCCCTGCAGAAGAGTAAAAGGAGTAGCAAGAAGAAGAAAAAGAGACTGTTGAAAAATGGAGAGGTTGTGTGTGACAAGAACATTCTTGTAGTGGAAGTGGATGAGGAAGCTGCAGAGGAACCAAGTTCCTTAGTCAAGTGATCTCAGAAAAAGAAGCAATCTGCTGAAAATACTTCAAATGAGGATGCTGGAACGCCAAGTACAAAGTCAGTGAAAAGTTGTGACAAGTTGAAACAAGTGGTGGCTGAAGAGTCACTATCTGATCATGATATTCTAGTGAAATCAAGTAGAAAGGGTAAGCCTAGTGTGAAGTCTGGTAAAAGAAAGTTGGAAACTGTGAAGGAACCCGGTTCTATGAAGAAAGTGAAACATGAAAGTGTGTCCGGTAAAGAAAGGTCGAGGTACCAGAAGATTCTGAGAGGTCGCACATTTCACCCAGAAATATCTGAGATGGCTGGTATGAGGCAAATACTTGACATGGTCGAATTTCAACAGTGGGGACATCTGTTCAAAGTGGATGTGCCCAAGGTCTATGAGGATAAGGTCCAAAATGTCTATGCAGACCTCTTTATTGTTGAATCTGACCATATTTGTGCCCTGGTCAATGAGTTGATATTGTTATGGATTCTGCTCTGCTTGGAGACATACTTAAGGTCCTTGCTGACAGTATCTCTTCTGTGAAGGATGTCTGTGGCTCAAACTTTAGGCATGCAATAGTAAAGGAGGGAGCATTGTAGCGGGGGGAACGGGTGCATAAGAAAGCTTTGCTTCCTGTGTATCAGCTCTTATTTGAGTTGGTAAACAAGGTCCTGCTACCTCGTGCTGAGAGGAGGTCTATCACATCCAAGTCTGATTTGTATCTAATGGAAGTACTGGATGGTTTTCAATCTGTCAATCTGCCAGCCATAATGATTGAGCACATGTAAAAGGTGGCAGCCTTCAAAGATGGCAATCATGGTCTTCCCTATGGATTTCTTCTCACGCATGTTATCAAGTTCTTTGATGTGCCTTTGGGACAACCCAAGAAGGGGACCAAGAAGCAAACCTTCTCTCAGACTACTTTGGAGGAATGTGAATGTTTTGAAAAAGGTGGAGGGGTAGGAAGCACTTCGACGATCTCACAGCTCATCAATGCCCAGAACAGTGCTACTGAGGAGATTAGGAAGTTGAAGGCAAGGAATGCCATTCTGGAGAATCAGCTAAGTTAGGCTCAAGAGGCACCAGGGCCGAATGCAGAGGTTGCTCGTTTGACAAAAGAAAATGCTGATCTCAGGCAACAGGTTGAGAACCTGAAGGAGAAACTGCTCGCAAAGCAAATGTCGGCCAATGCTCGAATTGATTTCATACTCTTGCTGCAGCTTCTAGGTCCTCTCCCTCTAGTGTCCCCTAGGCTAATCCACCAGTTACCACTGACCAGTTTCCAGTTTATCTCTTCTGTTTTGATGACTCTTTGGTAGTTGTTTTTGTTTTCTTTTTTGTCGTATGGATGGAATTTACTTGTACTGCTCCCGCTGTTAACACTCCAAATCTTCATTTGCTGTAATGGCAAAGGCTTATGTTTTATAAATATTTAATAAAGACTCTCCTCTTTGCTATAAATGCTTATGTTCCTCTGCTTCTATTTTCTATCATGTGGTGTGCACATATGCGGCATGAGTTAGCTAGGCTAGACTTCTTTATGCTGATTGCTTGCTTGTGTATTATTAATGATGCCAAAAGGGGGAATATAATTGAAACACGGGATTTGATTCAGGGGGAACTTGTGAAGTTCCTGTTACTTCATCTGGTTTATTTTGCATATAATCGAAATAGGGGATCTGATTCAGGGGAAACTTGTGAAGTTCCTGTTACTTCATCTGATTTATTTTGCTCTGCATATGGGTTATCAATTTCGAAGTTTGTCACCATCAAAAAGGGGAAAATTGATAGATTTACAGTACCTTAGCTTTATGTTTTGATGATCTAACAAATTTACTGTCAAAGAACCAGATAAGGAACCTGACACACTTGGTACACAACTCAATCATCTAACTCGAGCTAATTTGAGTTGTTATGACTTCAGAAGATTAAAAAAAATCAACAGAGGGACCTGATCCCCTTGTGTTTCCCTGATAGCAGTACGAAGTCAACTGTCTACAACTGGAAAGTGACTGGCTGCACTGTACACGCAAATAGTGCAGCACAGTACAACAGTCACTCCCCTTTGACCAACCAAGTGATTACATCATTCAAGTGATGTCATCCAAGTTGTATTAACAAAGAGCATTACGACAAAATATCATTTGAACACTTGAGAATTCATTCAAGCACTCCAACCGTTCATCTGTCAAGCATTTAATTCTCAAGTGCATCAAGAACAAAGTACAACACTAGTACGGACCAGTTCTTACAGCAAGTCTATTATATGTCCTTAGTTGAGTTGTAACTTTGAAAGTGTTCTTCATTGTAATTCCTACTTTACTTATCTAGAAGCTCTAATTAGGAAACCCTCAAAAACCATAAACCTTCAGTGTTTGTGTCGTGACTAGAGTTAGTCATGAGTTGAAGTCTTTGTAATAGGTGTATTGCAAAGTGGCTTGTAATAGGTGTATTACAAGTTAGTGAGGGATTAAGAGTTTAATTCCTAGATTGCACAGGTTGTAATCTAAAGCTTGCTCATAGTGAATTTGAAATCCTGCCAGTGTAGGTCGTGGTTTTTTATCCCCTTGAGCAGGGATTTTTTCACGTAAAAGTTCCCTGTTCCATTTACTTACTGTTACATTAGCATTCTCTGTGGAAACCTATATAGGGCCCGGTCTCTATATAGTTTGGTGGACTCATATATTCTATCACAGACACAACAATTTTCATCAGATACCCTGGTAAGTCTATTAAGAGTTGACCAAATTTTCAAATGAGTTGACCAAAAAAGCACCAATTTCGGTCGCGTTTTTGGATATATATATATATATATATATATATATATATATATATATATATATATATATATATATATATATATATATATATAGGAAACT